ATCTGCCTTTGGCTCAGGTCATGATCCCAGGGTCCTGGGATCGAGCCCCACATCAGGCTCCCTGCTCCGCAGGAAGCCTGCTTCTCCCTCTCCCTCCCCCTGCTTGTGTTCCCTCTCTCTCTCTGTCTCTCTCTGTCAAATAAATAAATAAATAATCTTAAAAAAAAAAGATTTATTATTTGGCAGAGAGTGAGAGAGCACAAGCAGAGGGAGAAGTAGGCTCGATCCCGGGACCCTGGCTTCATGACCTGAGCTGCAGGTAGATGCTTAACCCACTGAACCACCCAGGTGCCCCCATAAAAAAGCTTTAATTCTAAGTTTCAGACAGGGCTGAGTTAACTACATAGACTCTGGAGCAGAAAACTGGAAACTCTTAAGTGGTTACTGTAACATCTGTCCCAGGTTTGTTAGTTCGACATTAGGAGGTTACATTAGGAGGGTTTCACGATCTGATCTGAGAAATGTATGTCCGCCTTCCAGCACATGACCGAGCCATCTGTAAATTCTGTGGCAAATCAGTCAACACCAATTTCGCCTCATAGGCAGAGAGAAAAAAGGTCTCTCTTACTCCCACCGTTACACTTGGAGAAATTTTCCCATGGGCTGGTGCCTCCTCATTAAGAATGCGATTCACGAAAACAAGTGAGTTTTGTTGATATTGCAGTTTTTTGTTTTTGTTTTTGCTTCCCTGGATGTTTAGTGGGAGACAGCGTAATAAATCGGAGGGGATGCAAACCCCAAATGTTGGGGGGGGGATTATGTTGGTATAATGAGGGCTCCAGAAAACAGATACATGTGAACGTTGAGAGTGGGCATGTGGTGATACCCCTCTCCTGCTCACGGAGTGACTGAGCACGTGTGCCCCCGTGGAGCACGGATCCCTCCTGGATTCTCGTGGAAGCAACAACGACAGAGCTGCCATGAGCCCGGGCACAGGCTCTCCACGCATCTGCTCTAGCCGCCAGCACTTCCAACTTTACTCTCTGATGACTGCATTCGGTCTAGGTGGTTGTCCCCCTCCGTCCCAGGGAAGTCACAAAGGAGACGGATGCCATTAAGAGTGTTTTCTCCCATGCATGTGACCGTGAACCATAGCAAAGGGTAAACACTCATCACAATAACCAGTAATTGTTGAATTGATACAAAGCAAACGTTCTCTTGAATCCTCCCAGCCGACCTGGGTGGTAGCTAAGGGGTCACGACTGCACCTTCTTCTCAAGGGAGGAAACCGCTTCCAGAGGGGAATGACTTGCCCAGGATCACAGAGCTGGTATGTTTTAGAAGTATTCAAATCTAGGGTTTTGTTTTGTTGACCTGAGACCCTTTATGGCTGGCCTGTTTATTCCTTCCTGAGTTGCTTGTTTATTCAAAGATGTTTTTAAAGCATCTAGTTTGTGCCAGGCACGGGCGACTCAGCGAGGAGACCGAGTTCCTGTCTTCAGGCAGCTTATAGGCTAATGGGGGAGATGAGCAGGTGAAGAAAGGTAATCCCAAATGCAGGTCCGAGACCTGTTTTATTTAGCTGATCTACGGTTTTCAAGAATCTGGATTGTTTTGGAAAATAGGAAGATTTTACTTAAAACCCCAGCTATCTGGGTTCTCGTGATGAATCAGGTGAGGTGGTAACATTGTTGTCATGTTCTCCTGTGGCATCAGTGGGCTGGATAGAGCTAACCACGGGGACATCTTTTGGGGGCGAAGGGCACCAGCTGGCCAGCCTGTCCGTCTCTGCCCTCCCGCAGCCCCCCAGCTGGCCCCTGCATTTGGGTTCCCCTGAGTTCCAGTCGTGACTTAGGGAGACGGTGTTCTAGAAGGGACTCTGACCACTGCCAGGGTGGGGCGGGGATGAGTCCGAGCCAGGGGAGGCTCCTTAGAGGAGAGGATGTTGAACTGTGATTTTCACAGAACAGAGAAAAGCCAAAATGCTCCGGGCAGAGCTCTATGTCAGAGCTGACAGCGAGGCACTTGGTCACTGCATGATCAGTTTGCCAGAGGGAAGATGCTGTCAGACTGCCCTTTGTCCATGCACAATGAAGTCTGCTTTTGTGGGTAGAATCAGAATCTTTGCTAGGGGATTTGGCCTATTCAAAGGCACTGGGCTAGTCCAGCGTGCTCTTAGGTGGCTTGTGTGCAGAAGGGAATGGGAACGAAGAGAGAGTTTATATGCTTTACTCAAGTCTAGCAAAATCCAAGTTTCCAACTCGCACTTTGTGGTGGCTTTGTGCAATCACCTTTATCTCTTCTGCAAACAGACCGCTCACAGGACCCCTGGTATTCCAGGCATCAGTGTTTTCTTTTAAAACTGGTGACTGCCCATGCCCCTCATCCCTTTCTGGAACCCGTCTCTGTGGCCATATTTCAAGATTTTTTTTTTAATCATTAGGAATAATTTTTACAATTCAACCCTTCAGATCCTGACAATGTGTCAAGCCAGTGGGGAGAGCTAAGGCGCGTTGCATGATGCCAAAATATGGCTTGCCTCGGAGGGCTTGGGTTGATGATATGGTGGTGCTAAGCTGTCTTTGCTCTGAGATGCTAAAAGGCATGGGGGTGGGGAGCCTTCCGAGGTCCCCAGCTGTTCCTTGATGTGGGCACTGTTTTTCCTTTCTCCCTGCAGCTGTGTGCCGGGGATCTGGGTCACGTACCAGCTAATGTTGCCGATCCCAGGCAACTTTTTGCTCAATAACCGTTTCCCAAATGGCTACTCGGGGGCTTTTCAGAATTCACAAGAACTGTCAGTTGTTATAGTAACCGGCCCCCTGCTGTCGAGTTGGCCCTGAGATGCCAGTCGAAGCTCTTGGAACAGGCTAACACGTAGTCATTAGACAAAAGCAGGGAGAGATTCACTGCTGAAGGTTGCCATTTAAACATACTCCGTGATACTTAAAAGAAGGGATTGGTTCTGTTAAGGAGGAAAGGGATGGATACATTTTTTTTTAAAAGCAAACTGACTTTTCAGGAAAGGGCAATGCCTATGTTGAGTCTCTGCTACGTAACCAACACCTGTCTTTGGATTTCTCACAATTAAGTGTCCTCTCTCCCAGGGTCGATTGTGTCTGTCCTGTGGGCTTGCTCAGGTGGCCCCCTCAGTTATTCAAGGTATTAGTTACTGGTTTTATGGCATTTGCTTCTCAGCGAAGTGTTGTCAGTTTACGGGTGGTAGTTTTAAGCGCCTGTGATTGTGTGTGAGGAAAAGCTGCGGAGATAGCCGGCTCCGCTCCAAAATTCCCGAAAGAGTAAATCTGGCAGAATTCAGAGTAGGGCTAAGGGTTGAGAAGAAGTCTAAATATTTTAGGAAGCTGCAAATTTCAAGTTTCTATGAAGATTTGCAAAAACACTCCCAACACACTCGTGATTTCTTCAGATTAATGTTCATTGCTGCACCGAGTACGTTCATGATGTTTTGAGGACAGTTATTGTAGTTCCAGAAGGTACTCAATAGAGGGAGACAGGGAGTTCTGAATTACAGCACGATCCCTGCCCCCCACCCTGACCCACGCACCCTTTTTAATCATATTCCCCACTTTCGGCTTCTCCAAGTTTTGGTTCCTGTTCCAAGCACTTTTACCCAATATAGAGGCTAATGATCCTCAAAATAAATGAAAGGTGATATTAGAAGAGAAACCTAACACTTGAGAATTCAAGGATGTTCATCCCAGAGTAAAAACTACCAAGTAAATCAGAAGCTCTCCAATGTTCTTTGGAATCACACACCTGAATTCAGAGTTCTGAGTGGGGCTCAACAGAACTTCCAATGAAAGAGAACTTTGCTACAAGCGAGTTTGCCTTCGCTGTTCTATCAACAGAGTTTGGGAATAATAGGAATCATTCCAGTGTGAATAGCCTATAGGGATAGCCTAGGTTGTTAGGGGATTAAATGTAATTAAGTAAACACCTTCCAGTGTTCCTATGGAACAAAAAATAAATGTAGCTTTCAAAAGCTAGAAACAAGACTCAAATGCTGCCGTTACTAAGTTTTAAGGGGAAACTGAATATCAGACCTAGTATATAGTGGTAGACTGCTTCTCTGAGGTGTCTCTCCCACCAATTCCCCAGTCTGGTTTGTGAATCAGTAAAGTGTCTGGAGATGAGAGGCATGCATGGAGAGAAGACAAAACCCTGATTGGTCTAACGGCACCACATTCACATACATTTGCGACGGAGGGGAGGTTCAGATGATCCCCAGGATATTCCTGCTGAGTTCTGTTGACTTTAATGGTGTTTTATTTTATTTTTTTTTTAAAGATTTATTTATTTATTTGAGAGAGCGAGAAGAGAGAGAGTACATGAGAGGGGGGAGGGTCAGAGGGAGAAGCAGGCTCCTCGCTGAGCAGGAAGCCCGACGCGGGACTCGATCCCGGGACTCCAGGATCATGACCTGAGCCGAAGGCAGTTGCTTAACCAACTGAGCCACCCAGGCGCCCCTTAATGGTGTTTTAAATGATCGCATTTGCCAAAGCATCACATCAAAGGTGGAAGGTTAGATATATGAATGGGAAAATCCAATCATGATTAGATTTGTGATATCCCTACCTACTGTTAAGACCAGGAGTCATACAGGTTTCTAACCTGTAACAACCGCTTTTAAAAGCAAAGTTCCCATGTCGTATTTCTTAACTAAGCACAAAAAAACCTTGATAAACCCAGTCCCCTTTGTGTGTAAGCTTTCTCTTTTGAAAATGCCCCAAATTGGGACCAGTGATGGGTACGTCTGTGTTAGGTGGAGGGAGGGCATCCATGTGGAACTCTTGGTGGCCAAATTGGGACCAGTGATGGGTATGTCTGTGTTAGGTGGGAGGGAGGGCATCCGTGTGGAACTCTTGGTGGCCAACTGAACGTACTGTCTTCCATACCTGTTCTCTTTTGTTTTTTGTCTGTTTAGAGGGTGTAACAAAATAAAGTCCAAGGGCTCTCCCAGACGTTTCCGTGAAGTGCCTTCTTCTGGGGAGAGAGGAGAGAAGGGGAGCAGGTGAGGGGCGGTCAAGCTTAAGGGGGGATGCCTCTTTGGCCGGGACTGGCTTGCTGGATTTTTGTTTTGTTGCCCTGGGGATGGAAGTCCTTTAGACAGCACAGTGCTGCAACTTACCTGTCTTACCCCAACTCCCAAAAGTTAAGAATTGCAAATACCAACACAGCTTGCGGGTAGCTGGTAGCAATGAAAGTATGTCCCGCGTGTGCTTGCTTTGCTTTATTTGGCAGTTTTGGGGGGGGTTTATTTCTAGAAGGGGACATACTGGAATGTTCTATGTTGATGTGTCTGTATGTCAGTTGCATCCATTATCTTTCCAAAATTTCAGATGTTTGCATGTTTCAGAGCTTTAAAAAAAACAAAAACAAAAACGCATGCATTAAGCCTTACAAGTGAAAAATATCTTTTAGAAACCTAAATGTATAAATAAGCTAAGGAAGAAGAGTAGGAAAGGAAGAGAGAAGTGAGCAAATGGGGGATATAACGTGTTTTTCCATAAGAGTGAAATTTTTTAAAAATGAAAGCACACTTGTTCTAGATAGCTTGAAGACTGGGAAAGATTATTGTCCTGGAATGATTTACAGTAAACCTTTAGAAGTCCTGATCATGTGATCTTAATCACCCCACATGAGCCTCTTGATAATATTTTTATAAGGCTTATCTAGGCAAACTCTACTTAATATTAATGTGGTAATTAATATTTTAATATTGCCAGTTAGGATAATTCACTAATACTGTGTTGTGAGTAGTTTCTTATTACTTTCAGTGAACCAATTTATAGTATTTACCTTAGAATCTTTACATGAAATGATTTGTCTCCCTTGGTTGAGGATAAGTCAGATTATTGAGATGAAATTTTAGATACCCATCGACTCTAATCAGGTATACTTATGAGATCTGAGAAGGTAGAGTACAGGAATTGTGGAAGATGAATGAGAAATTCTATGATCTACCTTCTTCTAAGCTACATGGCGTGGTTTTGGCCTTCTGGGGAAAAGGGGTAACTGCTGACACTGGTAATGTAATTATTCTTTCTAAGATCTTTTTACTTACTGAAGTCTTCAATGTTCTAATCTGTTTCCAAAACTCCAATGGTAAAGACCAAAATAGAATCCCCTCTGTATAGCACTAGATTCCAAGTTCTAATCTTAGAGTACCTTCGACATCATGTAAATGCCTAATATTCATGCCCAGTCTGTTATAAATATGATGTGTTTCTGACTGTAACACATTAAAAAGTGGATCACCTCAGGGACACCACAGAGATAATGCACATCTGATGTCTACATTCTCTTCAGATGTGATGCCATAGCTAGGTGGCCCGTGGTTAACTCTAATTTATGTTCCTAGCCCCAGATGTGGGAGAGCTTACTATAGATGTATTTTAGTTCCTAGGAGGGTGTGTTTTGTTACAAGGTGCTCAGTCTCTCTGGTTTCTTCTCTGCTTCTGAGTGCCAGAAGCTTGGGGGGTAGCACAATGACTTTCATTTAGATCTAGAAGTTGAGCACTATCTTGGGAAGCTACAAGTGTTTATAGAATCCACCTGATTATGGATCCCATATTTTACTTTACTTTGTTGATAATATAGTAGCAAAGATAGACGGACCTTGGCTCAGGGAGATAGAGGTTCTCACTGTGGCTCTACCTCTTCCTGGCTGTGTGACCTTAAGCAACTGAACAAAGCCCTCTGAGCCTTGATGTCATCATCTAAGTAGGTCCAATGATAGTTCCTTTTCATGGGGTTGTTGCGAAGAGGAAATGAGGGAGTACATGTGAAGTGCTTAGTGTATGTAATATATTTCCCCATCCAAAGGATGGGCAACAGAGACTCTGTCTGGGCTCCCCTCTTGGGTGGCTGAGGTGGGACAGCCCTGTGGCGGTCTGAGTCCTGAGCAGTGCCCCTTCTCCTCACTGCTGGATGGGCTTTGCTAATCAATCCATGATGAAGGGTGGGCCAGATAGAGATCCTGTCCTCCAGGGGCTCGGATCTCCCCAATTCCTTATGCCAGCTGCCCTGCCATACTCTGTTCCTCCAGAGCTTACAGTTCCTCGTTCATCTTGATGGCTGTGTGTGCCGAAGACCACCAGCCCACTCTCCCCTCTCCTCCCTCCTTCTGTATCCCAGGAGCATTGGCAGCAGCCTCTGACCCAGTTCTGTCCTCTGCTGCACTATAAAAAGCCTCCCAGAGAACAGGGGCCCCACCCTCCCCTGCCAGGCTGCAGATGCATCAGGGAATCGGGGCATCAGCCTCTCATCTCCTGCCTTGGCCTCTTTCTCTCCACTCTCATTTCCTGTCCTGGTCTGCATCCCATCCAAAATATGGCAGGGAATCAGGAGAAGAGCCCAAAAAGCTGCCCGAAGAGCAACCCTCCAAACAGTTACAATAGCTCTTGCAAAGTCTGTGCACATAAACCCGAGGGTGATATCCATTCGCCCATTTGGTCTGACCTCACTTGCCTTGAACAGTCCCCGCGCACAGTGGGAGGAGGAAGCCTGTGCAGTCTGAGGGTGGACAGAACCCTTAAAGCAGGACACTGGCTACAGGAAGTGACAGCCGGTTATCCCCCCAGAACATAGAAGAAAAAAAAATAAATAAAAATCAGACCTACGTATTTAATTTTTCCCAAAAAAAAGTAGTTGCTTTAAATTTTGAATAGGTAATACTTGACGCAGTTGAAAATCAAAGAGCTTAATATTCTGTATACCCCTCCATCTCCATCTGCTCACCTACCCACCTGACTCCCTACCTCATCACAAATAGGTAACCACGACTGCTGGTTTGTTGTTTCTTCTTCCAGACATTGGGGGCGGGGTGTGTAAGCAAATAGGAACCTCTACCCCCAGATCTCCTTTTACACAGTAGAACACTGCGTACACTACCCTATGCCTTGCTTGTTTCACTTAACGTGATTTTCCTCTATGCGTCTGTGGTTTCCTTGTGCTTTTTTCCAGAAGCACACTATTCCTTTGTATAGTTGTCCTGATTTATTTCACCAGTCCTGTATGGCTGTCCTTTTGGTTGTTCCTAGTCTTTTGTTATTACAAGCAGTACCAAGGTGAATAACTTTATGTCATTGTGCAAGTGGAGAAGTCTATCTGTAGGATAAAAGTCAGGAAATGGGCTGTGTCAGGAGCGACAAGCATTTGTAATTTTGATGGATGGCACCAAATTGCCCTCCCCGGAACCATACCCATGGTGGCTTCTCTCAACAACACATGAGCCCCTGTTTCCCTACACCTTACCCAGCATGGTGTGGTGTCAAGCAGGAGTGATTTTTCCAGCCTCATGGGTGGGGGGCGGAAAATGGTGTGTTAGTATAGTTGGAATGTGTTTTCTCTTATCATGAGTGAGGCAGAGCATCTTTCACGTTTGTGTCCTCTGTATCTCTTTTGCTCTAAACTGTTGGTCTTTTGTTCATTTTTCCTTTGCAACAATTGTTGGTCTTTTTCTAATCAAGAGAGATGACTGTCAGCAATCAGGGTTGCAAATATTTTTTTCCTAATCTGTGGTTTGTCTCTGAACTCTGTTCATGCTGTTTCTTCGACCTCATGTACTCAGATTTACCCATAAACTTCTTTTTTGGTTTCCAGATTTTGAGTCCTTGTTAGAAAGTCTTTCTCCATTCTGAGATGACTTATTTTAGTACTTTTATGATTTCAAAGTTTAATGTTAAATTCTTAAATCGTTTGGAATTTGACCTGGTTGATAGTGTGATGTCTAAATCAACTTTTCTCTTTCCCAGAGGGTCCCAAGTACTTAAAAAGTACTACCATAGGGCTGTTAAGTGAAAAGACATGTCATACCTTGCTAGATCCTTAAAATAACACTCTTCCAGCTAAAGTCTGACCAACTTAGTATATTAATGAAATAGTCGCCAAAAAGTGTTTACCAGAACACTGTATGTTACAGATGTTGAATCCTGTGCAATGAATAAAACGTGAGTTTTCATTTCCCATCTCCTGCCCAAAAGGAGTCGGACCATCCTGTCCCCATTAACCGCCTCCATCCGTGGTAGATTGTGTAACTGCCTTGAAACAGTGGCAAGAGGAGAGGTGGAGAGTCCCTTAAGCCTCAGTTCAGAAATTCAGAACATTCCAGGCCAGCGTTCTAAGTGTGGGACAGCTACCTCAAAGCCCCCGACTTCAAGCCTTCTTTTCTGGGTAAAAGCTCAGAGGACTGGGAAGTGCAGTCTAGAGCTCCCTTGCTTAACGCCAGCCACGACGTAAAAAACTGCCCTGTTCAGGTTCTTGGTCCGCTCAAAATGTGGTTTATGAAACGACCACTGCTGTCTTATCTCCTGGAAAGCATTAGCAGTATTTCCGTCATTCCTACGACTCTCCAGGGATTGCTCAGCAAACTTAATATTTAGCATGAAAATGTACTGTGCTGAAACCACTTAGGTGTATATAATTTAATTTGCTCCCACATTCCTTAGATGCTAATTGCAGGCACTTAGTATCCTCCCATGAAATTCTTGCTTCAGAAATCAGGTTTTTGTCACTTGTAGCTGTAACAAGAGTTGAATGGGCCATCTCTCCTGACCATGTGAGACCCAAAATATTTTGAAACCTTTTCTCCTCATTTAATATGCATATCCTCTCTCACATCTCATCCATCTTCATGGCTGGGTACACTTTTCCTCTTTCCTTTTTCTCTTCATCTCCTTCTCACATCTGACAGGCTGTACTTATCCAAGGTATGACAACCCTATGTCCCGGGATTTCCAGAATTGCCCTGAGGTGAAATATGTCATTTGATTATTCCCCAGAGTACTTTGATATTTGTCAGATCACATGTGCCTTTTACGGTTTGGAGAATATGAAAATGAGCAGTGCAATTCTGAATTCTTTTTAGGAGATTCCTTCCTGGAAAGATAATACAAGCATAAACTAAGCTGTACAAACAGAATCATTTCACATACAGTCAAGGAAACTGAACAGCAAGTGAGTGGTTGCATCTGAAAAAAATCTCAACTCAGAACTTACAGTGGGCTCTTT